AAGACTACTCCAGTGTATAAGCCATTGCAGTAGCGCGAAGCCATTCATCGGTGACTCTAACAAGAGAAATAACAGTTGAATGCTTTTCTCTGAAGCCAGACTGCTCACATGAAAGTAAATGTTTATTTTTAAGGATTGGTTAATTGAATTTGAACAAGTTTTTCAATGATTTTAGAAGCGGATGAAAGAATTGCAATTGGTCTATAATTAGAGGGATGTGTTTTGTCACCAGATTTAAAAATCGGTACAACTTTGGCCTGTTTCCAATGTAGGGGCGTTACACCACGTGACAATGAAGTATAATGTGAGTCAAAGAAGGAATTATCCCCGTAGCAGATAATTTTAAAATGTTCATAGGGATGCCATCAGTCCCGATAGATTTCTTATTTTTCATACACATAATACCTTATAACTTCATTTCAGTAACCTGTCTAAGAGAAAAGGATTTAACATTCCATGAAAAGGAATAGGAGGACATGAGGAATATTAGCTGCTAAGTCTTCACCAACCTTTGCAAAATACTTGTTAAATTGTTCAGCTTTTACTACGTCTTGAGAGATTTCTGAAATGTCAGATTGCTTAGATTTGCTTTTAGGCATAATAGATTTAAGAACGTTCCAAACAACAGAGGATGAATTTGCAGAAGATAATTTCTCAGAATAATAACTTCGTTTACGTTTCCTTATACCTTAGACGTGACTAAATTTCCAAGTTTCTTGTAACTACTTCATGATTATTCGTATAATTCTTCTTTCGTTTTCCTTTAAAACTGCATTATTTTGTTCAGGCAATTCAAATTTCAACTTATATATCTTGCTTTTTAATTTATCTCTTTCTTTAATCAAGTTAGTAATTTGAGAACACATCCAAGGGAAGATCTACTCTTAACGCGTTTATGGCAAATTGGCACGTGCTTATTATTATTATCTAAGATCAATTCTTCCCATATTTTAACTTATCATCTATGTCATTGACATCGAATACTCTGTGCCAAAGCTGGGACTTTAAATGATCAATAAATAGATTTGAATTAAAGTCTTTAGTTTTCTTTAGTATGTAACTTCCAAATTAGGAAACAAAGGGAATGATCACTAATCCAATGTGAACAACACCATATGCTTTGACTTTATCCAATGCATTGCAAACCATATGATCAATTAGACTTAGTGAGTCACCGGAAATTCTAGTACATGTTGAAGAGTTGATCTGTTGTAATGAAAAAAGAGTGTGAATTTGATTTAGGCGTTAGTGTTGTTTGATAACGTCGACTTCATTATGTCACAATTTAGATTCCCCCAAGGTAATAATGTTGTAATGAAAACTATCAAGAAATATAAGCAATTCCTCGTTAGTAATCGAAAATACGAACTGGACTGTTTGGAGAGGACGATACCAAGACAAAAAAATAAACGGTTTGGCAATGGTTAGTATCTACCAAAAGTGGCAGTGCTTCAATATCATTTAAAGAAAGAACGATAATCTAATACTTAAAATTCAAGTCAATACTTATGTATATTACAACACCGCCTCCATTACGATTTCTGTCTTTACGAACTAACGAAAGCCCTCACATATATATTTCGATATCTGGTACCGATTCATCCAACCATGATTCGTTAATGGAAAATATATGTACAACATTATTAGTCAATAATAATTTAATTTCATCAATGTTTCTTAGTAGACTCCGTACATTCAAGTGTAAAATCTTAGACCCTTCTGCTGTCATTTTTCATACTTTAAATCAGCATTTATTTCTAAGTTCTTTATATCACTGAAAGGTAAATGAACTGTAGTATCATCACTGCTGTGTGTACTTTCATTGCTTTCATATATGAAGTGAGGCAAGTACAAAAATAAACTTTTGGAGATTCCCAATTTAAGAATTTATATAAAGGATTATCATAGTCTTTAACACTGACACCGACACAGGCAATATGTGACCACTCGCAACATTTTGTACATTGTATCTCTTTTGATTAGTTTAACAGGCTTACAGCAACTTACACAAGAAAAACCCTTTACCATAAATTTAAAAAGAAGTTATACTACTATTACATAAAAAAGGAAATAGAAAAAGAAAAAGTTCAAAGAGTACAAAAATACTGCAGATTTGGAATACATCACAATAATTGCATGATTGATAACAATGGAGAAATGGGTCTCTGTAGTGAGTCAGTGATAGCTTCAGTGCTAGAGAAAAGTCTTTAATAGTCACTTTAAGTCATTTTCGCTCGTAATTAATCTTTTAATTTGTTTTGCCTCCACTCGTTGGAAGAGGCGAGCCGAGTATTCTGCCATCGGAAGACCATGCAGTAAGTGTCTTCTCACATTTTTCGCTTTTGATAGTAAGTTAGCGTTTGTCTTGGTAAGGTTCTCGTCAGGCGCGTACGCAGGGGGGGGGGGGGGGGTGTTTGGGGGGTTTAACCCCCCCTTTGGTATTTTTATTTGTGTAAACCCCCCTAAAAATCCCTAAAAACCCCCCCCCCACCCCCCCCCTTTGGATTTTTTTTTTTTTTTTTTTTTTAAATTATTAAAAAAAAAAAAAAATACCCCCATGGCTGACCTTAGAAAGGTGACCTTACCCCCCCTCCCCAACGGAGCAAAATGTCAAATTTCAAATTTCAAGACCAAAAAAAAAAAAAAAAGTGTCCTCTTACTCCCCCACTGAGCGACTTTGGGCTGGCTGAGTCGTTGCGATTTTTTTGGACTCCAAAAAAAAAAAAAAAAGTGTCCGCTTACCCCCCCCCCCCCCCCCCTCCCCCCCCCCTCCCCCCCCCCCCCCCCCCCCCCCCCCCCCCCCCCCCCCCCCCCTCCCCCCCCCCCCCCCACTGAGCGACTTTTTGGCCGGCGCGATTTTCAAATTTTCCTGAGTCGTTGCGAAATTTTGGACCCGATTTTTAAAACCCCCCCCCCCCCCTTGAAAAAATCCTGCGTACGCCACTGGTTCTCGTCAATACCCATTCTTGTGCCTTTATATTCGCGTCGCTTTGATAAGATAAGTCTCCGCATACGGTACGACACGAATTTAGCGATGATGACGTCAGGTTTTGTTTCGTCATTGCGTTTGTTGCTTCTTGTCGAACGGGCTGGGGGGTTCACAGATTCCGTAGTCTTTGTAGGCAGGCGGTGTGATCGTTCGATATCTTCTTTCTTTAAGGTCAGTTTGAGCCTTTCTCGAGCAAGCTCACAAATTAGGTCATCAGTGTCCTTTCCCTCTTTGTGTGCGACACCGTAAAAACGCAAACAATTGCGTCGCGAGTATTGTTCTTGGATGTTGGCAGTGCGCTGGACCCTGGTCAGTGATGATTGTTGGTCTTCAATCAACTTTTTTAGATTGACGATCTCCTTCTCCCTTTCATTAGGGACTTTTAGATTTGCGTGGACTGATACGTGTGACTTCCATTCAAGGCAGTGCATTATTAGGACGTCGATCGTAGCAATCCCCATTGTCTTCGTGCGAATCTAAAAGTCCCTAATGAAACGACATTCAAGGTCCATGATCTTCCCTTCATTTATATCAATTCTATTCAAAAGCACGTTGATCTCTTCATGAAAGGCTTGACGGACTGTTTGTCGGATTGAATTAAGAAATTCTTCTCCCTTCATGTACCAATGGATATCGTCATTAGCAACGGATTCCTCCGTATCACGTGATGGATCTGAAGGCATGATGGGGGTAAAATGCGAGAGGGTGTAGAAGCTTTGCAGTTTAGATGCAAAAACGAAGGAAAATATGATAATATGGTGGAAAATGAAGCCGATACACATACGACGGACAAGGCCTATGTACGTCCAAAGTTGCAATATGTAACATAAAAGTCACAGGAAGCTGAAGTATGAGATAGCAGAGATATTATAAGCGGTGTCATGAAATGGTTCATTAAAAGCATAAATATCCAGAAAGGTGAAAAATCGGATAATAATATTATAGTTGACCAAAGATAAGAATCTTTAGGTGCATTCCAAGATGCAATTGTCAAAATATCACATTATATCACATTATATCAAGATGTACAGGCCAGGTTCAAAAGTTACGTACCGAACATATATTGTCAAGTGCGGGTCTACGACAGCTGTACGGTGTACATAGCCTACTTATCTGGGGGTAGTCGCAAAACTTTGACGAAACCACATCAAATCCATAAATCCGAGGTTAGAAGTCCAGAAAATCGTCCAGAAAGTATCAAAAATATGCACTTGCAGATATATAGTCAAAATAATTCCAGTAAATTCCAGTAAATCTAGAACATAAAATGCAGTTTTTGCTTCAAAAAAATTCAGTGCGGTCGTTCAGTGCGGTCGTTCGGTCTTGATGTTAATAACCTAGATACTGTAGTTTACAAATTTAGAAAGCCCTAGAAAAATGTCGATGCAGCTTTCATCAATACCACAATATTATCAGACTTTGTGGGGAGGGCACTAATGTCCTTTGGCAAGGCATTAATCTACATTTGCCACTCCATACCCAGGAGAGAAATGGGGACCTGGTAGTATGACGAAAGTGTATTTGTTTAATTGCCCTATTCCCTCATGGTGACCATTATGGTAGAAAGACTCCCCAGGGAGTGGAGATGGTGCACATTTTGCATGATGAATACGATGACCAGGGTAATAATCTGTAAAGCACTTAGAGATGGTGTTTCGTATTTCGCGCTATTTATATAAAGCCAGATTATTATTATTATTATTGGACCCAATTTACACAATCCGTTATCCTTTATCCTGGATCATTTCCTGCGCTTTTTTGTCCATGTTTCTGATTCCTAGGATAGTGATGAAAAGGAGACCGAGTTTAACTGGAGCAGTCACACCCAAGGGCTCCTCCTGGCCGCCTTCTTCATCGGGTATACCTTAGGTAACATTCCAGCGGGATGGCTTGCAGACAAGCTAGGAGGAAAGTGGATCATTTTTGGTGGGGCCTGTGGAAGCGCCATTTTGAATGCCTTGGGACCGCTAGCGGCTCGATCCAGCGTTGCACTCTTCTTCGCAACACGTTTTCTGGCCGGTATTTCAGAGGTTTGTCTACAAGTAACACGATCGCTGAAAAGCAATTTCAAAAAGAAACTGAATAGCAATCCCCCCCCCCCCCCCCCCCCACTCCGAGAACGGACGGACCCCATGCGTGTTACCAAAATGTCCTTTCGTAACAAAAGAAAAAGGTCGACCCGTATTGACTTTACACACCGGACTTTTGCTGAAAGGGGGGGGGGGGGGGGTGCTGAAAAAGGCTCGTATAACAAAAGAAAAAGGTCGACCCGTATTGACTTTACACACCGGACTTTTGCTGAAAGGAGGGGGGGGGGTCGCTTGGAACACGCATATGCGTACCCTAAATAACACTGAGTGGGGGGGGGGGGCAATTTCACTACCTTGTTGTATGCCTATTGAAGCCATATTCGGATAATATGTCATTGTCATTTCGCACAATTCAAAAGATATTGCATAAGGCTTAGCAATGATTGTAAGGGTTGTTTTTTGTTTAAAGGTTTTGCGATCGTTTTAAGCCAGTTGGTAAAAGCAACTGGAATACTAATATCGCGCAACTGGGCTCTCCCTGGCATGGGTAGCACACTGCCAAGCAATCTCTCTTGAATCCGGTCCACGTTCTCGCCAATCATCCACCTCGTCACGCTGGTTTCCTCACAAAAATTTAATGTGTTTTGTGCAACTGGGATCACCCACTTAGCTCTCTGTCACATCAAATAATTGCTGGAAAGAATCAATAACTGACACTTGCAACAAATTTGAAGGTGACAGGAAACTTGATTTCACACTGTCACTGTACAAAACGCATTTACACAGACGTATATCGGCAAGGACATCCTAAGAACAGTCTCCCTCCACAGATCCGATACAATCTAATACCTGTAATGAATTTAAAAGCGGTTTTTGTCGTTTATCAAACAGGGTTTCATCTTTCCGGCTGTTAACACCATGGTGAATAATTGGTCACCAGTCAACGAGAGAACGCGAATGATGACATTTATTGTAGCAGGTGGGAATATACGATTATAATTATTCGCTCTCCTTTTCAGTACTTACGTCCTTTGAATAGAAACACATGATGGCAAAGACTCTCAAAGCTCAAAGTAGAAAATAATTCTGTTAACTGTCAATTTAAACAATTGACTATTTTTACCCTACAAATACCTAGCTATGCAAACCCCCAGTGGCGTATCCACACATTGCTAAAGGAGAGCGGCGGTATCCGCGCAAGACAGGGTTTCAATAAATATATCCGGAGAGCTCCTTTCCTGTACCCCCTAGCAAGTTTGATACAACTTCGGATCCACAGCTGCTGTATACTAAAAATATTATCGTGGGTCGAGTGGATACGTCACCGGACTGTCGATCACAGGGACAGGGTACGCGGTTCGAGTCCCGCCGCGGCACTAATGTCCTTTGGCAAGACATTGATCTACATTTGCCACACTCACCAGGTGATGTAAATGGGAACCTGGCAGGTATTAATTCCTTGAAATGCTCGAGCGCCGTAATGGCCGCCCTGCTAAATCCAGGGTAATAACCGGGGCAGCGCCAGGAGCGTCACGACGCGACGGACATGTGAGCTATATAAAAAAAAAAATAACATTATTATTATCATTATATTATTCATGGTCATGATGATGTATACTGAATATTCATGTTTTAGGGATGGCCTTTGGACCTGCCATTGGTCAGTCACTTTCTGGAATAATCTGTGCTAACCTTGGATGGCCCGCCAGCTTCTACTTTTTCGGTAAGAGCCAGTGATAAATTAATATGAATTATAATGAACCATATATTTTTTAATCAGTATAAAGCACTTAAAAACTGTTTGCGTTAATCACTATCATGTAATGGTCAAACCATAAAGTTATGCGACGTTGTATACCGGTAAATCAAAAAGGAAACAGGAAAAAAGCTTACAATAAATCTCTAGTAAATTAGACTGGTGAAGTTTGAATGAAATCGAACCAAAAAAAGTTATACATTTTTTTTAAAATTGTACAGGAACAGGCTTTTCAAATTCGCTGAATGGGTAATGTCTCTGTGATGTAGTATCCGACTACTTTTCCATGTGTCCCAACTAAAAAAAATGTAATGCTGTCGACGACCTACAGTGATTATGGTATCCATGCAATATGTTGAGTAGTGCTCCAATGGCACTTAGGAGAAAAACAGAAATTAACAATATTTGTGTACACGCGTGAGCGTTGTCCGTGTCTTTGTCAAAATCCACAAACTGAGTTACCAATGTGAATTTTGTACGTATTTAGTGATCTCATATTTCAAACATTCTTAATTCTCATAGTATTCGTCCGATTTATTTGAAACTATCACCATTCTGTTTACCCTATATATCTGCTTTAAATCATACAAATTAACCTAGTACAAGGGTTGGATTGCCTATAAAATGAGTCAAATACATTGGAAAGGCACATGAAACTTATTATTGCGCATTCTGAAACCTAGTATTATATAATTCCAAATATCCTGCTTTCCTAACCTTAGTGACGTAAGTACTGTAGCCGCTGTTTGATTAAACACTTACACGAGAATCCCTTTTCTCTCGGTGTTTGTACCCTCCGAAATGAGGAGAAAAGGAAGGAATGAGTTGGCAAGATCGAAAAGGTTGTGAGTACATCAAAAGAGTTGCAGAGTGAAGAGTGTAGTTCTGAAAAGAACAATTATATTCATCTGTAGAGTACTTCTGAAAGAAAATGCCACAGTGTATTATTTCAGGAAAAGGCGTGTATCTGACTATAAGGCTACCAATCATGAAAACCTAAAAATTGTTTGCAGTTGATAACAAAGTACCATGGTTACCATGGTTCGAATTTTGGCCAAATAACCATGGTTACCATGGTACTTTTAAATAAAGGTTCGCATATATATATATATTATATATAATTGTCACATATTAATTTGTTGATCAATTGTTTATCAATTTACTAAAATTAATGCCAGTTTTTTTCTATCATTGTTTTTAATTTCAAAGGCGGTCTTACCATCACATGGGCCTTTTTCTGGGCAGTAACGACGAATGAGGATCCTAGTCGACATCCATTCATTACGAGAAAAGAACGGGTCTATATCGAGACAAGAAGATCCAAAAGATCGGTATGATAGTATATTAAACTTATATGGCACGTAACAGCTAATAGTTGTGGACCACACTTTCATGCCACGTGTAGTCCCATGTACAAATTTATGTGTACAGTGATTGTGACTTTTACCCAGACTGGGCCAATTTCTTATCACTTTGATGACTCCCTTACTTCTCAATATACAATGATTATCTGCTACATGATCAACCTTTTCCAAACACTCCAACCCAGTTTATTCTATACAAGTAATGCAATCGCATGACCAGAACTCAACGTTATTATGTAAATCTAAGCGGGGGCGTCGCTAGAGGGGGTGCCCACACTTCACCCACCTATCAGGATATTATCGGTACAATTGCGCTGCCGTCGAGAAATATGATAAAATGGGGAGGGGAAAATGAGAGGGAAAGAAAAGAAGAAAAAAAGAAAGGGAAAGAAAAAAGAAAGGGAAAGAAAGCAGAAAGAAAGGAAAGAAAGCAGAAAGAAAGAAAAGAGAAGAGAAAGAAAAACGAAAGAGATAGGAGAGGAAAAAAGGAAAAGAAAACAAAGGAAAAGAATTAAAAAGGATGAAAAGAAAGACAAGAAAAGTCAAGGAAAAATGGAAGAAAACAAAATGAAAGAGAAAATGAAACAAAAGAAACGGGGCGTTAAAGATAGGAGAGAGAGGAGGTAAGAGCATTAAAGAGGAGGGGTGGGAGAAAGAGAGGAGGGCTGTTGGGTGGAGTCATCTCGTCGAGGGAGCAAGAAAGATACGCAGAGACATGACTGTCGGGTCAGCTTTGTCGGTATTCTCGCTCGATTCTCGTGTACTTAATGCAGAAGTTGAACTTGGTCAGATGAATTTGAATTTGAATTGAATTTATTCACCACTTTCATAAAAACTTATAAAGGCAAAGAATAGAATAGTTTCTTGCAAACATAGATAAACCACTAAAATGGAAAATACACTAAAGGAAATTACGAAGTGGTTGGTTCATCAAAAAAGTTACAAAAACTTATAAGTAGATGATCCTAGAAATGTAAACACACAAAAAAAAAAAAAGGGGACAAAGAAAATACAATACTACAATGGTAATTACACCCATAAAAATTGCGTTTGTCAAATTCAAATTTGCTGTATCAGGTGAAGTTTTAAAAGATGCACACTGTTTAAGTTTAGGGGGTAGTTTGTTCCAAATAGTGGGTCCTTGGCATAAAAAGATAATATTTGAAAATGAAGAATGACCATATAATACACGAGTGTCTGCTGAAGTCACGGTATTATATCTATGAATATCGTTATTGCTCTGAAATATATTACAACAAATTTCTGGTAATAGGTTATGATAATATGAATACATAAAAACACAGAGTTGAAAATCATGTAATAATGATATTGGGAGAATATTCAGTTTCAAGAAAAGAGGTCTGCTTGGACTTAAAAATGGCTTGTGGCAAATTATACGAACTGCTCTTTTTTGTAGGAGGAAAATACGATTAAGTAAATGCTGTTTACAAAAACCCCATATAATGTTACAGTAGGATATTTAACGCAAGATTAGTGAGTTGTATAACATAAGAATTTTGGTTGGCAAGATGTCTTTAAGTTTACTCATAATTCCTATTGTTCTAGACACTTTACGTAGAACTTCATAGACGTGTGTTTTCCACTTAAGATCTTTATCAATATTAATGCCTAAGAACTTGGTTGAACTCGTATGTTCAATCAGATTTCCATTCATATATATTTTTTTTACTTCACTAGCACACGTCTTTGGAAAGGTAAATAACAAAACATTGGTTTTTTTCATAGTTAAGTTGCAGTTTATTTGCGCTAATCCACTCACTAACCTTTAAGAGCTCAATGTTTAGATTTTTGGTCAGGCATTCAACATCTTTATGCTTATAAAATATATTTGTATCATCCGCGAACAGTATAAAATTCAAAATGGGAGAGACTGAATGTTAATCATTTATATAAATTAAGAAGAGCAGTGGGCCTATAATTGACCCCTGCGGAATACCACAGGAAACTGATTGTAAACTTGAACTTTTAGAATTGAAAACAGTGAATTGTCTGCGATCATTTAGATAACTGCGAAATAATTGAAGAGTAACACCACGAATTCCATAATAATAAAGTTTTGAAAGGAGGATATCATTGTTAATTGAATCAAACGCTTTTTTAAAATCCAAAAATATACCAACAATGATTTCTTTGTTTTCAATTGCCTTTGATACTTGTATTAAAAAATCTAAAAGAGCATGATCAGTTGAATACCTGGCCCTAAATCCAAACTGCCTATCATAAAGTATACTATGTTTATCAAGAAAACCGTGTAGTCTGGTATAGATGCATTTTTCAAAGATTTTAGAGAAGAGTGGAAGTAATGAAATGGGTCTGTAATTTGAGAATATATCTTTAGGTCCCTTTTTATGAATGGGAATAATTTTGGCAATTTTCAGGTCAACAGGTACAACACTTTGCTCAATACACGAGTTAAAAATATTGCACAACGGTTTACATATGACATGAATAACCTTTTTCACTACGGAACAATCAATGGAGTCAAAACCAGGAGCTTTACCATTTTTGAAAGATAGAGCATTATTAATTATTTCTTTTTCAGTGATGAGTAAGAAATATGCAGTATGAGGAAAATTGCTATTTAAATAAGAGGTACAATTAATATTCGTTACGTTCCTGTTCATACAAGCTAATTTATGACCAACATCTTTAAAATAATCATTAAAGGTCTCAGCAATTTCTTTAGAATCATTTATAACTGAATTGTTACACTTAAACACAGAGGAATTTTTCTGATATTTCTTTCTCTGGAGAATATCATTAATAGTTCTCCAAGTTTTATTAATGTTTCCTTTAAATGTACGAAACTTTGAAAAGTAATAATTTGTTTTGGCACTACGAATTTGGTTTGTGTAAAGATTACGGAATTTGTTGTAGCAATCTTTTCGGAGTTCAGTAGTATTTTTAATGTACTTTTTGTAAAGGTAATTTTTTTGAACACATCCTTTTCAGCTCTTAGTAAACCATGGTTCATGATTTCTCTTATAAATTATTTTTTTTAGTGGAAAACAAGTACGATAGATCTCAGAAAAACCTCCATAAATTTTTCATACATCAGGTTTGGCTCCTCATGATAAACAAAAAGCAAACGGGTAAAATCAGTTGTAGAGAGATCTCTAAGAAAACAATTGACATTCATATCATTAATTTGATGTTTGTATACCACTGGTTGTTCTTCATGAATACCTTTAAAATCAAAAACTCCAAATATAGGTAAATGATCAGATATTTCAGAGGTCAATATACCAGAAAAAATATTGCAAATACTATTTGTAAATATATTATCTATTAAGGTTGCTGTGGAATCTGTTATTCTTGTTGGCTTTGTAATTAGAGGAGCAAAAACAAAATGAATAAAAAAGTTCCACCAACTCATTACACAGGTTTGGCACATCTAGTTTCATCAAGTCAAAATTAAAATCTCCAAGAAATATACACTCCTTTTTCTCTATGTACACTTTGCACAAGATGTCCTAATGATATCAATGAAATTAGCCTGTGATTGATCTGGAGGTCTATAAAAAAACACCAACAATAACATTTTTACCTGGCTTAAAAACTTCTATGAAAAGACTCTCACAAGAGGGTTAAAGACCGAAATGTCATTGCGTACAATGTACCTTATGTCATGCCTAATTGCAAATGCAACTCCTCCTCCTCTCCTGTCGTTACGGGATTTAATCTCCACATTATAGCCTTCAATATAAAACTCCTTTCTTACCTTAGTATCTAACCATGTTTCACTAAATGCTACAAGACCAAAAGAGTGTTCTACACTGCAAAAACCAGAGTGTTAAAATTAACACCAAGGGTGTTCAATTTAACACTTTCTTGGTATCTATATCGGACAACTCCTCTGGTGTAACTTAACACCATTTTGTGGAATTAGATAATTTCAATTCCACTTTTGGTGTTAATATTTGACAACTCCTACTGGTGTAGATTAACACCAATGTCTGGAATCATAACAAATTCCATTGCAATTTTGATGTTTATATTCTTGTTGATTCAATGGTCCCACATTCATATATTCCTATTATCGACCATTATCGACCACGGTGTCCACCCCAATAGGTATATTATAATCTCCATTGCATTAACTCCATCACATAGTTCATTTGAAGTAATTTCAAGATTAACATTTAAATGATACAGGCTCGTACACAAATATATATAATAAATATGTATGTTGTTTCTTGGTTAGTAATCTTATAATCAATATATCTATTGCTAAAACGTTAATGCAATTTTAACAAGATCGGACAAATAATCTATTGGTCAATAATTGCCTAAGGAAAATACAAATCACAAAATTGATGTGCATAGTCATAATTTGCTTAACAAATCATGATAAATGTATTCTTCTGTGAACACGTGTAAAGTAATCATAAAGCGCGCGTACATTTTGTGAAAACTTATTCGACCAATCAACCACCTTAAACGAAATCACGTGATAATACTTTCAACACCGAGCATAAAACAACACCATGTTACTTAATACCAAGTAATTATTATTGCATGCTTAATCTGACCGGTGTTAAAAATTAACACCAATGGTGTCAAAAAATTCAATACCATACTGGTGTTAGAAATTCAACACCCTGGTTTTTGCAGTGTAGAGTTGAGAGTACAGATGTTATGTCATCATGTTTTGGCAGGCTTCTGCAATTTATATGTAACAATGAAAAAGCATTGCTTTTGGTTAAATCTTGATTCAAAAATTCTTCAGGAGTCATATACATTGAGCCATTCTCTACTTCTTCCATCAAAATATTATTAACATTATCGAATGCAAAAAGAGGGATACATATAATTAAAACATACTTTAAAGTTCTCTAAGGAAAGGATAGTAGTGACAAACAACATGCTTATTTGATTGCAGATAATAATAGTGCTGAAACAAACACAACTTAATGAACACATATCAAATGAAAAATTAGAAGAACAAAGCTGGGGGGGGGGGGGGAACTAAGATAATGAGTTGAGTTATTGAAATACACACCTTAAATGTATAATGTCGGTCGGTCGGCCAGCGAATTTTTTTTTCCTACGAACTTTGACTTTTTATCCGATGTGACGATTTCGAGAGAGACTACAACTATAATACTTTAAACTTACTCGAGTTTCACCAATATCAGCATAGGAAAAGAAGGGTTAAAAAATCGCCCCATCGGACCGACCCCGGGAGATTAAAAAGCGCAGCGCTTTTTCGACCACGCCACACCGAATAGTTGCACATACATGTAGAGGTTGCACATTTTATTATATAGCTACGATGTTGACTAGTCTTGACGAAAAAACCGTATATTTATTAGGTCAAGGAAAATGACCATGTGCGCATGCGCACGTATAGATAGGCCGTAGGAAAATTAGCGCCCCGGACCTCGGGTTTATAGGGTTAAATTGGTAGACATTAAGTTAGCACATTGGCATTAATGTATTTGTCGGTAATCGATGGCCGCTCTACACCACACCCCCCCCCCCCCCTCCGATGAAAAAGGTCTAGCGATCGCCCTGCACCCCAAGTCACACTGATGAGACATAAGCTGCTTTTACACTGCAACCAATAATCGTCGATTTTCTCACATTCCGGTATTTCACCGGCAAACACGCCTGGCGACTGCCGAGTTTTCAACGAATTTTTGCAGTGTAAATGCAAACTTCAGTAATTTTTACTCACATGCCTCGTCACGCTTCCGCGCTTTATATAGCGCATGTAGGGCACCAATAAGTGGCGCATGCGCACTACTTACCCCAAAATTGGTATGAGAAAACTTCGACGGTTTTGTGGGTTTTTCCAGAAGTGTTAATGGTAGTCCCCCCAAAAAAATCTACGTTTTTTTTCTTAAAATTGGTGTCTGGGATGTGTAAATACAGGGAGGTGAGAACTCCCTGTGTGATTGAGCCTTATGTTGACGATAGACCGAAAACAGACCGAACAAAATATTACGCGAATGGAAAGGATTGGTCCGTTTTAAATCGGTTTGTGGAGTCCGTTTGCGATGAGACTGAGGTTTTACTCCGTATCAATAACACTCGACCTTCCAGCTATCTATACATGAAAGGTTTAAAAAAAGAAATGTTCATGAAGAAAAACCAAAGTTGTAAAATCAGACGGGAAAAGTTTAAAAGCTTACAATTTGCCCTCAGATTAGATTCAGAAAAATATGGAAAATGTGAAAGAAAACAAAACATCGTCATTATCCTCACCATCACCATCGCCATCATCGTCTTCACCATCGGCATCACCATCATCAGTGTTATCACTTAATCACCTTCATTTCTTGAATTTTCTTCCCATATTCTAGGGTACGAAGAAGGTGCCTATCCGGTCCATCTTACTCTCGTTACCGTGCATCGCCTTCTGCGTAGTCCTGTTCGGCATTCCTGGTTTTGTTTACTTCTGCTTAGCATGCAGTCTCCCTATCTATTTCAAACACGTATTGGGTTTGAGATTTTGTCTGTAAGTCCGATGTTTTCTGTCATTGATATCAGGGTTGTCACCAGACTTTTTAAATGGAAAGAAGGGGGGGGGGGGTGGTCTCGGGTGTAACTAAAGTATCCGCCAGTTTAAGAATATATAAATATAAAGAAAACCATCACTAGTAGTGGATAGTGAGGTAGTGACGTCACAGGTTCATAAGTGAGTTGCAAATTTGTCTTGTGATTTTCAAAGTTTTTTCAATGTCATTAAAAATTCATAACTATCTTATCAGTGATCCGATTTTGCTCAAACTTTTTTGATTGGTTTGTCTGAAATTTTCTGCTCCTATTGAAAGTAAGTTATTTTTGGAGTGGATTGCCTTAAATCGGGCCGAAAATTTCGCATCGACTCAGCCGGCTCAAATAAGCGGGGGGGGGGGGGGGGGGGGGGGGGGGGGGGGGGGGGGGGATGTAAGAGGACACTTTTTTTTTTTTTTTTGGTCTCGAAATTGTTTATTATTAAAAAAAACAAAAAAAACAAAAAAACAAAGGGGGGTGTTTTTTTTTATTTATGGGGGTTTATACAACATAAAAATACAAATGGGGGGGGGGGGGGAGAGGGGTTTAACCCCCCCCCCAAAACACCCCCCCCCCCCCCCCCCCCCCCCCCCCCCCCCCCCCCGTGTACGCGCCTGCTGGAGAATGAAAACCTACATTCCACATCCATTCCACATCCATGTACTTTTATTTCTACAGGTCGGCTTTCTAACATCTATTCCATATGTGTGTCAGTGGATAATCTCACTGCTTGCGTCATCCATAGCAGACGCTCTGAGTGGTCGAAATATCCTAAGTAGAACATCGGTGCGGAAATTTACAATTTGTTCAGGTAAAGTAGATTCTTCTCCCCTGCCCCCCCCCCTCTCTCTCTCTCTCTCTCTGTCACAGACACGCACACTCAGACATTCTGTGAAATTATAGTGTGCTGCTCGGAGTTTGAGAAAATACACAAAATAAAAGAAAAATATATATGTTTGTGTGTGTACGTCTGCATATCTCTTTCCCATGTTCACACTCTGTCCTATATAATTATCTCTCTCTCTCTCCCTCCCTCTCTCTCTCTCTCCCCTTTCTCTCTCCCTTTCTCTCTCCTCTCTCTCTCTCTTTCTCTCTTTCTCTTTCTCTTTCACACACACTCTCTCTCTCTTCAATTTTCAATCCCAGTCATGGCAGTCAAGTAGGCCTACACTTTTTTTGCATTTTTAAAGAGTTAAAACAATCTTTCTTTAGCATTTTCCACCAACATAACTTACCCATTTTCTATTTTGTTTTACAGGAGCACTGATAATGGCCGCTTGTTTTTAACGATCTCTTTCGTCGTGCAAAGGAACACGTCTTTCATCGTTATACTTATGAGTGTGATGTATGGAGCAATGGGCTTGGTGTTTTCAGCTGCCTTCGTCAACGCTCTGGACATCGCGCCTAGCTTCTCCGGCACGGTAACCGGCATTGGCAACGGCATCGCTGTCACATCGGGGTTCATTGCCCCTCTCGTGACGGCAGTGTTTACCGAGGATCAGGTGCGATCCGGTCGTAACTATTCTTAGAATTCAAGATCCTTTGCACACGAAGATAACAAATGGCGGAGTCTTGTGTAGCGCTCATGTCTATTAAACACGTACATTGCCACTCACGGTGCTCCGTTCAATATTACAATCACTGGACCTATCTTTAGCAGGGTTGCCATTACAGCGCTCGAGCGTTGAGTAACAAAATAATCTATTCATCTGTTGAGTAAAAATATTACTCAATGAAGGACTAAATCTCTACTCATTTTGAATGAGTCAACCTTTACTCAATATTTACTCCTTTGTTGAGCGGTTCCCTTTTTTACTCAGCATCTGGGTAGAAACGTAATCAAACTCATGTCGAGTAAGAAACTGCTCATGAGTTGAGCCAAATTTTACTCAATTAACGAGTACATGTTTTGACTCAAATTGTTTGAGCAATTTTTTGCTCAAATATTGAGTATGATGTTTTCTGGGTAACGCTTAGTTGCTCAATCAATATTGAGTAAAAACATGTACTAAAGTACATGTTTTTACTCAATACTGATTGAAACAAAGGTGGATTCAACTAGGGTTTTAACTTTTTGACTAAGGGTTTAACTAAACCGCTGATTAATATTGTGTTTTTTTTAACAGCTGTTAAGTAACCATTATTTGTCAATAGAGAATATAAACCATAATTTTGCCTGATTTCTAAATTTAGCATTGATATGAAGTTCTTCACTCACACACTATGCAAATAGTATAAAGTCCACGACGTTTTAAATTCAGTAACATAATTTGTGGACTTTAATTTCCAAAATCAGTTTGAATCACAGTGAAAACTCAAAGTTTGAAGAAAGGATACCAAAAAGTCATAAGGCGGACGGTATCTGAATTTCAAAGAAACGTGAAAGTTCTTTTGTCTGTGGTGATGCGTGATTACATAATAAACATTGTCGCGTCAAATAAATGTCCTCATCAACATACACATTATCAGGTGGCGGTGGTAATGAGGTGATCAAAGAAAGATTCTCATTATTAGTCCATCTGTACTAGGGTCCATGGTTAATAAAATCCTTGGTATGAATTCCATAAATGAGACAATCAAAGAAGTCCCGTATGACAGCTGACTGGGCAGGGTAATCCAGCTGTAGTACTAGAAATATCTTGTAGCAATATTTATTGCTGCTGTCAATGCAGAGCATGAATAGGCGCTTCTCTCGAGGACTACGTAATACTATCCTGGCTTCCTTGGTGTTCCTCAAAGCACCAACAAAAAACAGTTGGCTCCTTCCTCTGAAGGAGGCCAGAAAAAAAAAATCAAATCCAGTTCCTTCCTAAAATGATAACATTTTGATATGTAGTTAATATGGTAGGGATTAACAAGGTAGAGGTTAATTTATGTGCATTGAGTTTCGATAGGATGATAACAACTAATTGGTTTTGATAAAGTTGTCCTACTCCGAGTCCTTGGGGGTAATTTTCTAGGGGTAATTGTCATCTGGGGTGGTTGTCTCCAAGGGGATATTTTCTGGGGGGGGGGGGGGGGGGGGGGTAATTGTCCCGCTGGTAATTGGCCGATTTGTCCTAGAACCATCTGCATCAATAGGTCTACCCCAGGCAAATACGTGTTTAGTACAAATAGGCTAGCTATTACCGGTCACTAAATTAATACATGCACGCTCGCCCTTAGAGAATTGCCCAAGTTCACAATCAAATTAATGTCATCGACAGTGACAACAATAATTTCACAATCTTGATCAACACAGTGTCCTTGAGACTTGACTAAATATCACACGGTAGCTCATTTAATATTAATATCATGAGGATTTCTTACCTAGAAATGTCGGTTGGAGCTCTTCAAAGCTCGATCCATGAGCTCAGAATTTCTTCCCAATGTGTCACATCTATCTCAGTTCTTTTGCATCATTCTGCACGCGCACATGCATGCACGAGACAGCTAATATCCAACCGTAGTTTACTCAAAATTGAAACAAACGAAGTTCTTGTGCTACGGTCACAAAGGTTCGTACGAACGATAATTTCGTACGAACCTCCCTGGTTTTCCATTGTCTTCTCGAATTTCCATTGTCTGAAAATCGTTCGTACGGCGTTCGTAGCAGTTCGTAATGGCATTTGTGACCGAGGCTTTACTCAATGTTGAGTCATTGATTTACTCTTTATCGAAGGTAACAAATTACTCGGATGACGAGTACCACTAAAATTTATTTCTTACTCCAGCTTGAGTACTGAATTGCTCAATTTGTTACTCAGCTTGTTTTACTTGGCACAATATTTACTCGCTGAAATTAAGAGTGTATAAACCTACCCTTATCAAGCTTATGGAGGCATGCGCCAGTACGTCAATACTAATGACTCGTCAAATGCCGTGCACGTCGCTGACGCAGTCATACGTCAACCCAAGACACCTCATGCACAATGTGTTCTATCATAATCAAGTAATTTTACTTAGCGGTACAGGACACAAATCTCATTGTTCATAAAGCGTCATGCTTGACGTACCAAAGATAAGTGAAAATATGAACAATGTGAATAATAATTGTAGTAACTGGCGTATGGGCTCATTGTCTTTTATACATGCTAGAATGAGGAAGGTTTTAACGCAATCGAAGTGACTCAATTGTTATTTGATTGCATGGATTGTACGAAAATTACCATAATACAAAGTAAATTAGATCGTATTTAAAAAGAAATGTACATGTATTAAAATTTCTTTCAAATCCCTGAACATTTCTAAATAATAAGGCATCATTCCAGGAGAGAGGAAAATATGCTTTCACACATAAAAAAAATTAAAGTTTGGGAGGGAATTGAATGACGCCAAATAATGCATATTAATTTTTTAATTACTGTCGAACATCCACTCTCTCTCTCTCTCCCATACTTTCAGGCCGACCCTGAGGGATGGAGGACTGTATTTATCATCACGGCCGCAATCACTCTCATCAGTGCCCTCGTCTTTCTTGTATTCGGCTCAGGCGATGTCCAACCCTGGGCTATCCCAATAGATGCTGATGTGCATAGAATGGACAAGAACCAACCACTCAGTATTAAAGATCCTGAGGAAAATGCAGCGATGATGGAGAAAATAATTATTAAGCCACGTTTAATATGCTTAACGAAATTACCTTGAACGACTGTAGTCCAAGAAACCGAAAGCACACGAGACCGACCTTGCTGGTCTCGCAGGCCTGCACTGACAACGTTATAGAGAGACTGACGGCCCACAGGACCAACAGCTAACTAACTATACCAACCGTGTCGTTCTCGATCATGGGCAGTCTAGCCACTTTTCAGAGGGTTCAAGACCTACGACGCACGCTTGTATGGGACCGATAACTTTCCAACCAGACCGTCATTAATTTTGTCTCGTGGGATGTCGGTCTTTTGTTCCGTTGGTCTCGTTGTCCTTTTGTGACCATTAAAACAAAATTTTATATTCATTTATGTCTATCTTTGCTTTGTCAGACTCATGGGATCTCAGGTATTACCCCACCTTGAACAACATCTATTTAGCTAAAATATACTCTTCCCTATCCTATTGAATGTGCTGTAGCATGCATTACAGGATTGCCCGAGACTCGTGGCACTTTTCCAGCCGATCTCTCACCGTTTTCCCATTTTTTATCAGTGGTGCGGGAACAAATGCTTTCTTAAAGAACAAGTCAACTTTTGATGGTGGAACTGCATTTCGTGAAGAGCTACATATTGTGTATCACTATAATAAGTTCTTTGGCTTAGCCAATAGACTTATATAGAAACTTGTTTAACATGATGAAAATTTATTTAAATTTCAGGTATTATTCAAAAACTTATATTTATTTCATTTATATTTAAATAGTTCCATTCGGTGTCAGTTTTGTTTTGATCTGTGAAATTTGGCTTACCGATACGGTTACTAACAGAACTTAAAGTTTTTCGTTAATTTTGAAAAGTGAACCAGGACACTTTGCATTATGTTTTCTTGTATCGTACTCAAGGCCATCCGTTATTATTGCCCTCTGATTTAGTACAGTGGTTTACGGGGGAAACCAGGAAGAGGGCAATATGGCAAATATTGCCCGCTCCGGTTTCATATTCGGAGCAGCGTGCAAAATACGAAAAACATATGTAAAGCATATCTGATATATAATAAGCATGATATAGATATGCAAATTATACAAGCGAATGGTGGAGGCCAATTTTCTATGTTTTGAATATGGATCAATACAAATTTAAAAAATCTATCTATCTAGTTTATTTCTTTAAAGTCTCTGTGATCGTGTTGGCATGACATTTCAAAACAACATCCATTAGACTTTACAATGATAAATATGTAATGAAGAAATTAATTGGAAAGACCTTGAACAATACAGTACATGTAGTAGTGAGCAAGATCGAGTATTGTGTGTGTGTGTGTGAGAGAGAGAGAGAGAGAGAGAGAGACAGAGAGAGAGAGAGAGAGAGAGGAGACACAGAGTGGAGCCTGATGAGGGCCCAAAGAGAAAGAGAAAGAGAAAAGAACAAAAAAGACGGAGAAGAGAGAAAACGAAAAGGGAAGGCGAGAGAGAGAGAGAGAAGACAGAGAAGACAATTTCATCACAGGGAGAAAGTGAGAGAGAAAAGGGAGGGGCGGAGGTGGAAAGAGGTTGGGGAAAAACAATTTAAAGATCTTATTATTATGAATCTTTATCCACGGAATAGGACAGCGCTTGGGGTCGAGAACGAGCCGAGGGGAGGTCGGGTACGTGAACAAAATGGGAAAGTGAGAACACGAAAACACGACCCGGCATAGCAAGTCCAGTGCCATCCCCAGTCGATATCGTCTAGCTCCCACCAACCATGACTTCACTACCACTATTTTATGCAAATTTTATGCAAATTCAAAGATAATTTTTTTCGGATTTAATATAAATGAACAGTTGGTCTAAACTAAGTTTAGTCTGGGGAAATCTGGGGCATATCAATTTTTGTTCATCCAGGGATGGTGGAGTAGGAAAGGGGGAGGGGGGGGGGGGGTCGCCATAATTATGATAATAATATTATAATAATGATACTAACTACTAATTATAACAATAACGTACTCTACTTAAATATCGATGTCGTCGTCCGAAATGGGCGCGCATAAGAACATATCAAGCTTGAATTCAACATTTAGTGCTTTGTTTGAATTACTAAAAAAAAAAGGAACAACAAAGAAAATTGATGTTATATTTTGATCATCCATGCATTTCGGACTTCATATAAAATGTTCATTTTGAAAGACGAGAAGGGACAGCTAGATGGAAGGAAAATTTGTGACAGAAAGTGATTTGCTTTGGTTTTATTCAAGTACAACATTTAGACACGTTTATAAAAACCTAGACCTTTAGAACAGTGAACGGAAAATTGGCAAATTGATAGCACAGTACACATGATCCATACAAGTTTTCCAATTTTCAGAAGGGGTCTGACCAAAATGATCAGAGAGAGAGAGAGAGAGAGAAGGGGGGGGGTATAAAAGATGGTGAGATTGAGAAAGAGGCGGGGCGAGAGACAGAACGGGAGAGACAGAGGAAGAGATAAAGACATATAATGTATATAAAGAGAGCGGGAGAGAGATAGAGGAGAGAGAGGGAGAAAGAGAGAGAGAGAGAGAAGAAAGAGAGAGAGGGAGAAAGAGAGAGAGAGAGATAGGGGATCGGAGGGGCTGATATTCATATCATGTATTCTTACGACAAAAGCTGCTCAAACTTCTTGAAAGACGCTACATTAACATTTCAAAGGCATCATTTGCCAATTAACGAACTAGATCAATAATATTCATAGCCTAATTTGGTCTCACATTATCCAAAAACAGATAATGATATAAAGGTGGTACATTTTGTCCATTTTTGGAAATCAGATATCGGCAGTCAGTTTAACAAACACATTAGCAAACTCGTTACATCATAATCAAATAGAGAAGGTAAATATCGGCACTGAACGGTCGGTCTGGTATAATTGACTTTGCCATGTTATCTTGTCGGGGGAAAAAAACACCATTATATTGTTCCACGAACCTCTGCCAGTTTGTGTGTATTTCAAAGTATGCTAAGAAGTGAAGGATATTTCTGTGAAACTTCTCCAGATTCAGATATGAAGTGACTCATCACAGACTTACATGCAGGGCTTGCAGGCTGTCACCTCCTTATAGAAGCACTGTAAGATCGAAATTCATGAACATTGAAATCAATTAATATGGCTGTTAATGTTTCTGGTGTGATTTCTACCAGATTAACCTGGTTTAATCTTCTTGTAATGTTCTTATCATGTTGTGTGTTTGGTAGTAATGTCTTGATATCATCAATGCATGGGGAAGGGAGTCATTTCTTCCTTGGTGCCGCCATTGGTGAAGGCCTGGTCCAGCGAGGACACAACGCCACACTTCTCATCAGCAGAGCATACGAACACCGTACCAGGGAGCCCAAGTACTCCAATCTATCGTTCGAAGTGTTTGACCATCACAAGAGGTCCCTTCAAGAGGTCCGAGATTTCTGGAAGAACTTCGGTGTTCTTTCGCTTGGGAAAGGTGATGATGGTCTCATTAAGACTGTGTACTACTTGATCGAATCGATGGCAGATGACTGCGAGGATCTCGTTCTCGATATCGAGCTCATGAAGCGCCTGGAGGACGTCGACGCTATCGTTGTCGATATGACTTGGATATGTGGTATAATGATCAGAGCCGCGCTGGAACGCAACCTGAACTACTCGAAGAAGATAGCCCTGGTGACTCTGACACCTTTCACACCTCAGCCTATTGCGTTGTTTTCGTACGGTTCCTCGTACAATCCAGCATACCAACCAGAACTCAACACGGGTTTTACCGACAGGATGAGTTTCTTAGAGAGGACAGCCAATCTCCTGCAGTCTGTTGTCTACGCGGTGCTTGGTGCTGCTCTGACCATACCGGTCTACATGCGCGTAGGGGAGAACACAGGACTTGAAGATGTCATGAGCATAAAGATGTCTCTCATGAACGATCTTGCCGACTTACACCTTCAAAACTTTGATTTCGCCATCGAGTTCCCGTTCCCGATATCACCAAATGTGATTCCAGTCGGAGGTGGGCTGACAGCATGGCCACCTACACAACTTGACCAGGTGAGCAACTTTATAATTACGGGGCTATATTCCTTCTACTAGACGATTTTTGTTTGTTTTAATCTATTGTCAAATTATGTAAATGTCTAGGACCTTTCGCGCAGTAAGAGCAATTTTGTTTGGCATGTTTTGTTGTTATTTTTTTGTTTGCTTGATGAAAAATTGATTGGTCAACAAACTTGTCAGCATCTTTTTTTAATATAATAAACGATTTGCGTAGGTTCCATGGCAGTTGAGAATTTACAACAGACAGGGGGGGGGGGGTGCATGACAAGTTTATACTTAAATTGTCTGAGGGTGCTTTTTTTCTCGAAAGTCTTAGCGTTTTTATTTCATATCCTAATTGATACGTGACCAATGTTTACGTCATCAGGAACTAGAAGATTTCATGGAGGGTTCAGGCGACCATGGTGTCATTCTCTTCACCCTCGGAACGTACTTCGGCGAGATAACGATCATTCAACCGGGATTTGCCGAGCAGTTTGCCGAAGCTTTCCGCAGAGTGCCACAGAAGGTGATCTGGCAGGTGGAGGATCCACTCGGCGAAATCGACGTTCCTCCAAACGTGAAGGTCATGCCCTGGGTACCTCAGAATGATCTACTGGGTGAGTTTGGGGGAGTGATGATGTCCTTGTCCTTTTCCTTGGAGGGAAGGGGGTGGGGGCCCGGCCCCCCCCCCCCACTCAGTGTTATTTAGGGTACGCATATGCTCGTTCCCTCTTTTTGAAAGCACCCCCTATCTGAGGACTGCCAACATTCCGAACCCCCTTTCGCGGGCTTTTCGCGGGCTTTTCCTGCCTTGGAGACCCCCCTAAATCAGGAAAAATGCTCAATGTATCCCCCTAAATTCGGAATAATTTCTCAGGAGTCCAAAGAGATGAGAGAAAAAAAGAAAAAACACCCCCTTTTTAAAGAAATCTCCGGGTGAAAAGTCAAATACACCCCTTTTTTTTACAATTCTCGGGCCGGACTTTGTCGCACGAAAAGTACCCCTTTACCGGACATTTTGGCAACACGCATGCGGTCATTTCGAAACCTGAGTGGGGGGGGGGGGGGGGGGCCGGGGGTGGGGGTATGAGCCGAAATCAAAATATGATGTTGCATATCAAAGTAAAACAGACCGAACAAAATTGCAGTGCTTCAAATGAGCGAGAATAATCGGTATGTTTTGTTTGTATGTTTTGAGTCAGTTTGGCTGTGTGACCAGGGGGGTGTTTCATACAAATGAGAAGTGGAAAGTCCCCGGTGTGAGCGACTTGTAGCTAGTGTACACCATTCAAATACCGACTCGGGACCGACAACAAATAACATTACTCAGAGTTCGAGTCGGTTGGTTTTAAAGACCTCTTTTTGTCAAATAAAAACTGACGTCAAAATATATATATTGATGTTTAACTTTCCAATCCAATATCAAAAGATTATTTGGAAATACCATCTGAAAGTTAGCTCAATGCATTTCAAAAAAAAACAAGGCACAAAACAAACTATTCTATATCCAATATCATACATCCCTCTTATTTTTTCCGTATCCTATATAATTATCCATCTAAACAAAATATTGTCTACCCCTTCTACTCAAAGGTCATCCAAAGACCCGAGTATTTCTTTATCAGGGAGGCAACAACGGGTTCCAGGAAGCCTGCTATCACGGTGTACCCATAGTCGTCGTCCCGCTCCACGCGGACCAGTTCGACGTCGCCGCCAGGGTCGTAGCTCGAGGGATGGGCAGGAAGATCGACAAGATGGCTGCCAGTGCTGATGTTATCTATGATACCTTACAGGACGTCATCAGTGATCCAAAGTGAGTTTGTAGAGCAGAAAGTGGGAGTTATGTCGAGGTGTCGTATAGTCGAGTGGTTAATTAAGCACTTGACTGGAAATGCAAATTCAAAAAGAAAGAAAGAACAAATTTGAACTAATAACATTTTCCCTTAATACAGGTACGCTGCAGTGGCTAAAGAGGTTGCTACCATCATCAGAGAAAGGCCCATGCAGGCACGAGAACGCGCAGCATTCTGGATTGAACACGTGATCAAATATGGCGGACAGTACCTCAAAACATCTGCAAGGGATCTTTCCCTCATTGAGTTTTTCATGATCGACGTCCTCGCATTTCTTCTACTGCTTGCCACAGCGTTTCTTCTTATAGTTATATTTGGGGTTCGTTTATGTTGTCGAATGGTTTGTGGAAAGAGGAAAGCAAAATTAGACTGAGATCATATAGGGTGCCTCTAGATGGAGGGGGTGTTGCGGGGTATGCATGCCCCCCCCCCCCATAATGGGCGTACGAGGTGGGATGAGGGCCTGCTGATCTTAAGCTCCTCAAGATTGGGTAATTAAAAACACCCTTGCAATCATATTTCGGCACCAGTTGCCTCATATCAATGGCACCTATAGGTAGTCTATTAGAATATGTTAAAATCTCCTTTATAATTAGTACATTGTTATACAAAAAAATGAATCTACAATACAATAAGTGTCAATTTCGCTCACTTCCATACTCAAAACTTTCATAAAAAGGGGAGAGGGGGATCTAATATTCGACATTGTGAAATCCCTCCCCATATATATTTTCTGTTTGTAAATCTTTAAGAGAAAAAAAATGTATTTAGCATTATATCGATAAATCCTCTAATAATTTGATTATTAATTTATTTATCCTTGCATGTGGAAGATAAAATGATCCGATGTGTTTCAAATTTTAGATTCTGATATAGTGTTGTTGTTGGTGCTTTTTTTAATTTGTCCGAAAATTCAGGTTTAGGTTGATGGTCTTTGCCACCTTTCTGGAAATAATGGCTTTTCTGTATCCTGAATCGTATAATGAAGCCAATGAAAATAAGCCACATAATGTAAGCTTTTTTATGCATCGGTCCAAAAATGCATAATATGTTAGAGTTGAAGATCAGAGCGATTGTAACTATGGCAAAGACGAAGACTATACACACAGTAAAAACGCTGCTTAAAAAGTGATGTTCACTTACAGTTGTACACTATCTTAAACCACAGTTGAACAAATTGTAAACAATGTTGCTCGAAACGAAAGTAATTTTGTTAAACATTCGCTGTTTAAAATTTAATGACTGCTTTATTTACTATACGAGAGCTTTTAGACAGTGTTGTTTACATATGACGTCATGTGTCTCGTGCCAGTAAAGTGCGCGTTGGCTAAAAGCTTTATTTAACATTGTTATGTTTAGAAACAGGTTCCTTGAAACTAACATGCAATTGAAATTAACATGCCACTTAGAAATGCAGTGCAGCTGTTTGGGCACAGCTCATTGTTATTCATATTAGATGCATACACACAATGCAAGTGTATGCAAGGGTCTTCTGTTGACTACACAGATTGATACATAATTATGTAAAAGCACATGGATATTGGGTCTGGATTAAACTACCAAAGCAACCACATGTGTTTCTGCAGGCTCCATTTTGTTTGTCTCTATACTTACATTTATTAAGCTTAATAGTTATTACTTTCCAACCCACAACACAACACACATCATGGCCTACCAAGCTACCGACGCGCTTCTAAGTGACTGGGGATTCAATGGCTTCAGTAATTGAAATCACTTTTCTATTAACCAATTTGAAGTTTTTAACTTATATCACAGTTAAAATTTTCAGTATCTGTACGCAAATGTCAGAATAAAAATCGTCGCGTCATGCAGTGCGGCACTGATCGCGCACTCGGTTATATTGTGCTAAATTCCTTGCCATAGAGATTGCATGCATCCCTATATAATGCAGTTTATACGTGCGTGCATGCGCGCTCATGCAAAATGGGCACTGTTTTGGCGCTAATTCATGAATTGCAGAATTACCCTACCATATTGTTAGTCTTTATATACCTATAACATAGAGACCCAGAAGTAGTGGTGCACTTATTCAGAGTATCAAACCCAAATTATACGCCATTATACAACCCTTTTGTTGTAAACAACCCCCACTGAACAACAACTCCTTTTTAAACAACTTTCTTTAAACAACCCAGTTGGTGTAAACAACCCCCACTGAACAACAGCTCCTTTTTAACCAACTTTCTTTAAACAACCCCCACTGAACAACAGCTCCATTTTAAACAACCGTCTTTAAACAACACCAGTTGTTTAAATTGTGATTTTAAACAAGTTGTTCAAAATGTTGATCAACTAAGTGTTTAAACTTTAAACAACTCGAGATGCTTAACATTTTAAACAACTTTCAGATCAGGTCACCCGTTAATCAAGAGTTGTTTAAACTTTTAAACAACTTGTTCACAAAATTGTTAACTTTGTAGAAGTATTCGAAAATATGAACAGGGGGGGGGGGCGTAGCCGTTCATTGTGTGTTTTGTGAGATGGGAGTCGCAATTTATCACAGTAACCCTTTGCCATCAGTATATAGAAATTTGTTTAGGGCTAGTAATTAAATTCCTACATGTCTATGCACAATTACCAAGCGATTCAATATTTCTTTTCCCATATTAACATGAATTTCTAAAGGAAATAACTTTTCTACTTATGCTGCTGGATTCGAAGATTTTTCAGCAACTCCCAGGTAAAATTCATAGGCCAAATTGTTGATATCATTAACAGTTATTACGACCGATGTTATTCGACATTTCAATAGCCTATTCTGCAAGGCATGATTAAAATATTACCATATAGTCTAGAGTGTTTTTGTTGTAAATCAAATTAAGAAATATGCTATATATTATAGCATAAGCCTATAGTTACCAGTCCAGAATACGTGGAAAATAAAACATTATGTATTGATAAACTTATTATCATGTGGCTATTTGTAATATTTGGCAGAATAATGATGTGGTGATCAGGCGCGTACGCAGGGGGTGTTTTGGGGGTTACCCACTCAATTTGGTTTGTGGAAAGAAATGAATACCCCTTACCTCCCCACTGAGCAAAATATCGGGCGGGGCGACTTTCACATTTGCGAGGGCAAAAATAAGTAATTCTCTCACCCCCCCCCCCCCCCCCCCCCCCACTGAGCAAAATATCGGTTTGCGCGATTTCAAATTTTCACACACCCCTCTTGAAAAAATCCTGCGTGTGGTGCTGATGATGAGGATGATGATATAAACGACGATCATTCACTTGCAGCCTTTATAATGGCGCCATATTTTTGTTGAAATTTTTTTCGAGGCACAGGCTGCTCCCATGAATTCAGTAGTTTGAAATTTTCCGAAGTAGGTAAATTTGAGGGATCATTTTGAAGTGTTATAAACTGTCATTCTCACAATTCGCATGTTTGGTGATTAAGAAGGAATCTGAATTTTGCCCCTATTTTGGCCTGGCATGGCTCCATCTTGTAATTGGAAGTTACAATCCCCTGAAATGCTACTATATGTATATTTTACCAGTTTATTACTTCAACCGGCCCTAGCCCGCCCCGCCCCATACCGAATGCAGGAAGAATAGGGTATAATACCTACGTAGAATAATTTACGCAGCGACTTTTATAATTACATGTAAGTATAAAATAGCGAGAGGAAGGAGAGAGAGAGAGAGAGAGAGGGAGAGAGAGAGAGAGAGAGAGTGTGTGGTATAAAGGAGAGGGGGTAGGGGAGGATAAGGGGGGCGGAAGAGGGGGGGGGGTAGGGATTCGGGAGGTTGCGAGAGATGAGGAATGGGAAGGGAAGATAAAAGAAGAGATTGGGTGAGCGAGAGAGGAAGAGAGAGAAATAAAGAGAGGGATCGAAAAACGGGACAGTGTCGGGTAGCTTTAAAAATATAGACTAGTTTTTAAAACGCCCCCTCTCAAAAAATGAAATGGAAGCTCATATTACCAATCATGTGAAAGAATAATTTTTGACTATTACGTGATGATACAAATTTTGCCGGGAAACCGCCTTCTAATTGATATATTTGGTAAATCATCATATCTATCCGGACTGGATAAATATCGCATAGTCCAATATATAAATCTTTTTGTGTACAGTGCTTGTAACTTTACCAATACTGAGCCAAAGTTCTTATAATTTTAATGATTCCAGAACCTTCAAGTATACATCAACACTTATATGCTAGATGATCAACCTTTTCTGATCGATTCACAATGCAATCGCAGCACAGAACTGGTCTATACCTTTAAGGTACCCGATTTGATTTTTACATCTTATGACGATACTTAATAAGCGAGGTCGTAATTGCACACTGCGCATGCGCCGAAATCGGGAACGAACTTTTCAAAAGGTCACATGAACATAAAGAGAGCTGACAGAGGAACTGTTATTTGTTTGTGTGCTGGCATTTCCTTTGTGAATGATCACATCTGACACATCAGTCACCGAAAAATAATTTCTGAATGTAGGAATTGGTTCTTTATAGTAAACTTTACTTGGAATCTGATCATCGGTAAAGTATTATCAGCATTATCGTGATCCAAGCCCGATCCAAGTCCCCAGGGACTCGGATCCACTGACACTTTTTACCCTGCCCCCCCCCCCCTAACTTCCAAAAATGTACCCTCCAAAGCGCGCGTTTAATAGATTATTACGTTATTTAGTCAAGCCAATTTATCTAGTAGGCCTATTAAAGTCCTTCACTATTTAAAATAAAGCAAATTATATACCTCACTTAAGAAATCCGGCCATCTGATTGGTCGAAATTGCATTCATAAACTTTAACTATTCCTGTAAAATTCCTGGTAAAATTCCAAACCCATGTAATAGTTTTAAAAAATAGTTCTATCCCAGTTACCATGGTTACCGGGAAAATAGTTCTAAAAATAGTTCTAAAATCCCAGTAACCATGGTTACCCATAGGTTTACGTGTTAAAAAATGGTTTGAGCGATCGAGGATATCGTACGTGTGCGAAGAATACAAGAATACAAGACAAGACAATTCCAAACAAGACAAAAATGGCTAAAGAAACTCTCTCAAGATTTCAACTTATCAAATGCAAGACTCGCTGACAGCAAGAACAACAAAAAGGGTACGTGAAATTATCCATAAACATGTTCGTTTAGTTGCTGAAAATGGAGTACCAGCATAGACGTAGACGAAAATAGGTCCAGCTGGGTGTCTGATCGCGCACCCGATGTCGTGTGCAGAAATTCTTCCCATAGAGATTGCACGCAATGCAGTCTCTATGTAGTCTACGTGCATTGCGCGACCATGCAAAAAAAGTCAAGTTTTTTTTTTCAATTCGAGATTCAAACCTTTATCTGTTGTGATCCTGAAGGTGATACTCAATAAGTGAGGTGTCATATGAAAGCGCAGATTCTTCTCCATATCTCCCAAAGGGCCGGTGTCATAGGCGATTTGTTCCGTGCAGGCGATCGGTTCCTCCGGAACCGATCGCCTGGATATGTACCCGCCGATTTGTTCCGGATTCGTAGATTCGTTCCGCTAGTCACAGGCGATCGGTTCCGGCCAGGCGATTCATTCCGTGGAACCAATCGGCGGGATATTTAGCCGCCGATCCGTTCCGAATCTCATCGGAGAGCGTGCGTGCTCACGTATTATTGAATACACGCCATGGTACACCCCTAAAGCAAAATGAACTATTCTGGTCGGCCTTTGCAACCAATCAAACTTCTCCAAATTAGCTACACCAACGATTGCCAATTTGAGAACTTTGTATAGAAATGCAGATTCCCGTTGTTCAAATATGTTGATAATTGCGGCCAATGATTGACCACAAACAGTAACTATAGACAGCGCCGTCGCGAAGCGACGGGGACTGGGTGGTCTAGCAAAAAGGGCAGT